TTGATTTGATGAAGGAGTGGTATCGGTGGACTTCTGAATAAAAGAGCCAAGCAGTCTTTCTTGGACAAGGCGATCGCGGTCAGCAAGACTCTTCCCGCTCCGAATAAGTAAACTCGCGATTCAGATTTGCATCATTGAGCGAATTTAGGTATAATATAACGGCATTGCGTACGGGAAAGGTTCATTTGCCGGCTCCTCTCATGATAACGACGAAGACAGAGACCAGAGGAACAGCCAAAAAGCCTCAAGTGGGATTCGAACCCGCGACCTCGTACAGGTCATTTCCTCGCTGTTGCAGGTGCCTGGCCCGGGGCATTACGACATCCGTAAGGGAGATTCGGTAACGATGGAGGCTGAGCCGCGTCCTGTTTGGGCAAGGGGAAAGATCAGCAACCTCACTGATAAGTCCGCACGGGTCTTGCATTGTTGAATGGAGGAGCTTTTCGATACTATGATAGAAATGAACCAACTATATTGATGATTCCTCCATACGGTAACAAACGGTCCTTTTCAGCTTGAATTGTTGTAAGTCGCTATCGTCTAGTGGTTAGGACGTCACGTTGTGGCCGTGACAACCCCGGTTCAAATCCGGGTAGTGACTTATTTTCACCGAACAGTTGCATTCGTGTCAGGGCTTCTGCCAAGAATCCTGGCCCAGGGCACTATGGCAGCATAGCACTAGAGAGAATCTCACGAGGGACCAAATGGAACCAAGTAAGTCGCGTCTAATGCCTACTGACACTCAACTACATCATGTTTAGGTACATGGTTATGGCCGAAACGCTCTACATGGTGCTTTTTAATCCTTATTTGTTCTCATGCCTGGTCTTGCCGTATTATCCGTTGTTCATATCGTGAGGGGACTGTGTTCGAAGTGGTTGGGCTAAGTACAAGTCACTCAAGCATACCATCTAGATCAGTGAATAGTAAGATCAACAACGCAATCGCCGGAACGTTCAGTATGTGTGTTCCTTCTCTCGGGCGATGTGAGAAATCAGCTCGATGATGCTCTCTAATTAATCATAACAGCATTATGCCTATCGGCATTATGATTTATGATGACGATAGACTATCATCATCATTATCGTCCAAAAGTAACAGTGGCCGTTGCCTAAAGCCTCCCATCATAGAACGTCATCTAGCTCAGTGGCTGAGAGAGCTATACGTCGTCTATCGCAAAAACCAGGAGGGATATGACACGTCCCTAGTGAAGAATAATGGGCTGGATATTGTGACTACT